TGTCCTCTGAGACACCTTCAAAGAGAGAAGTGTCCTCTGTGAAGCAGGCCACATGACTGCCCTTCTGAACACAGAGAAAAAGGAAAATGAGTTTCACGACTAGATTTCTTGGGATTCTCAACTTCCATGCAAGGAGAAGCAGGGTCAACTGCTACAAAGACATGTGATGTGCTTGATGCACCAGCCCGTTATCAAGTTCACCCTTCACCAGGGACTCTGGGAGAGTCCACTCAGATTATCACAGACTAGTCAAATCTATTATCAGGTTTGCTTTCTAGCCTATAGAAGTTGGTATTGGAATATGATCTTTCAGTGAGTTATTTGAAGTCTCCTGTCCTGATGACTCCCCCCCCCTCGAAAAAAAAAAAATCTCCAAATGTCCTCTCACCTCCTGCACAGCCACAGATGCCTGCTACAGACTTCTGCCGGTGCTTTCTTTCTGGAGCCTGACTCTGCATGGCAACTGTTTTATTTCCCCATCTCATGATGTCTTTGTCGCCATGTTGGATCTATGGGTCCTTAGTGTTCAACCTTTTTCCGAATCACCCATGCTACCTCAATGCCTCATATCCATGATTCCTGGCTTTGCATAAGGCCTTCAAACAACTGATATTTTATGCTGTTTTGAACTGTTATTGTCATCATGGATTGCATATCACTAGGCCGTTATCATTTCATTCGTAGACTATACTGGAAACACCATCGTAGTACCCTTCTAAACATCCTTGACCTTGCCTGATTTGGCCTGATAAGGAGCGTAGAGTCTGGTTTGTACTTGGTCTAGGAGGCTGCCAGTAAATAAATGGATTTCCAGGTAGGGCTAGGACAGAATCCTGCCCAAACAGCCACTTTCAGAGCTGACCATGTTTACTTAGAAGGTCCAAAGATTTGACTCAGCATTAGGCAGATTCATTTCTTCTTTTGTAATTTAGAAACAGATCCTGAAGACTAGTATAGATAAATAAGCACAAATAAGAGATAATATATCCTACTCTTAGAACTGTGTAGGCAGAAATTCTAGGTTTGTCTGTGAATTTCGTTGTATGGGTATACTGTGTATATACTTACAATGAGAATAAATGTATTATATTATTATTAAACCAGTCCTTTGTCTATCTAAGAAGCCTATTCAAACCAGGGAGAAGTGAAACCAATGTGGAGGATCTATCAGGGGTCTCCTACCAGCTCTCCTCAGAATGAAGAAGCTATTTGGATGAGTAGCAAAATGTTTCAACCTAGTAAGCAAGAAGTCCAGTTGTATGACTCAACCTCCAGACTCCCAGTTAACTCTATTCAACTGTGTGTTAATGAAACTGAGGTGGTGAGGAGAGAATCATTGTGACATTCCTCTGGTTGGGAGCAGGATGCTCCAACAATGGGGGATGGAGCACAATCTATTTATTAATTAGAATGTTTTTATCCTGCCTTTCTCCTTGCTTCCTACAGTCACTGAAATATAAGTGAGTAGGGTGTCTGTTCATAAAACAAAATAAAATACTCTTGGGTAAGGGCTGGGACCTTGTAGAAGGAGAGGGGAACCATGCTGTGGATAAATGTAAGAAGTCCATTACTTTTCTGGTTAATACTGAAGAACACCATGTTGTAAGACCCTCTAAAATTGTTAGTTCATGCTTTGGCTGGCTTTGTTCCATTTTTTTTTTCCAGATTTCGGTTTGAGATTTAATTTCTGTGCTCTTAATTTTGATGTGAATTGTCCAGCTTCCTTCGGTTGTTATGCAGTAAAAAGTGTAAGCAAATAATGCACTAAATGGAAGGACAAAGCAACGGATTAACAACAGAGAGCTGGAATGAAAAAGGACCCTTGCTTTCTTGAAAATAATTGAAATCTATATGGATGATCTCATGGAGCAGTGGGGGGGGGTTATTGTTGACTACTGTCTGTTGGGGAGATGAAATAATTAAAGACTTCAGTAAAGAAGTCAGTGGGGAAAAATTCTCAGATATTTCTTTTCTGGGAAATTTTGGTCCAGCTAACAGAATGACCCTTTGACCCCTTTTTCTGATGGCCTTTACCTCAGATGGCCATTGAAATGTGCTCTCAGGAAGCACAAGATGGATGGATGGATGGAT